TTTCATCAGAATGTAAAAGTGATTCATGTAAGAAATCCATTCTACTCTGTAAATGAGCCCGGCTGTCTGTACTTCTGAGTACTTTGATCTTCAGAAGCCAAGGGGTTTTCGATTTTGGATGTTAACGCGAGAAATTGACCAAGACTGTAAATGTAGTTAAAGTTGAGAACTTTACAACTATAAAAAACAATCAGAATTTTCACATTTGAACAATAAAAGTTGTCCAATATATTGTTAGTGCTCTTGCTGGTAAATCATACACTCTTGCATTGTCATCAACCGATGTTCAGTCTGCATTTAGAACAGTATCTATCCTTTTCAGTCAACTGATAACTCAATAGAACAGGAGGCCCATGGGCCTTATAGGTCACCTGAGCATCATGCAACAACTTTCCAATGATTGAATTTTGTTTATGTTTTAAATTAGAAGCCATGGGATTCACAATTTTGAAAGAGGCACCATTGCTCATCATAACTATACACTAAGCAATTGCTTAGTTTGGTTACTTAATACTCATAGTAAGGCTAGGGGAACAAAAAATGCATTTCAACTTATCAGTAATATTTAGCAATAATCAGAAGTGCCCCTATCACACATGAACCCCTGTCCCTATAGGTCCACTCATTTCTCAATTTTGGAAAAGGCACCCTTGCTTATCAGAAATGTTTAATTAATACCAAGAAGCAGATTTCAAACAATTAATTCATTTTCAGTATATAGGTACAACCCCCCTCTGGAAGAGGGATTCTTGCTCATCATAACTACATGTTATAGTCTTAGTTAGTTTATTTAATACCCAGGAGCATAAAAGATTTTTAAAGAAATAATGCACTTTCGCTATATATTTTATATTGCCCTGCCCTAGCACTAAAACCCCTGACATTGGAGCCATGAATTTTACAATTTTGGTAGAAGACTCAATGCTCATTACATTCATGCCAACAGTTTGAGTGCTTGATGTCCAGGAGTAAGGAAGAAGATGAAAGATTGCATTAATTTAAGTGGTTTTTGACCCCACCCCTCTGGCCCCAGGTGGCAGGGACCATGAAATTCACAATTTTTGTTCCCCTCCACCAATATATACTGTATGCCAAAATTGGTTGAGTGGTTGCAGAGAAGAAGCTGAAAATGTTCAAATGTTAAAACACGACACACGGCGACGGACGAAAACCGATAGCAATAGGTCACCTGAGTGACTCAGGTGACCTAAGATCGAAGAAAATAACTCTACCGATTCTCTAAAATCAATCCAAAATGGAAACTGAAGGAAAGAAAGGACAACTGAGTCAAATAAGCTTGCAACATCCAAACAAGCAGATTGAAACACTTGGTTTAAAAACACTACCTGCAAATAAAGACAAGCAGATTGTACTTGAGATAGTTATCCATTTTCAGATTTCTGAAAGGTGGCGAAGTTTAAAGTATAATTAGAGAAGAAAAAAACTAAAAAATATCTTGCAACATTGACTTCTAAAACAACAAAAACTGGGAAAATTTAAACAAGAACCAGAAATCTGGTGCATCATCCTCTTTATCTAAACCATCTTACACCAATTTCATTCATTCAGATGAATGAATTTCAACTAACGAGAAAAATACCCTGAATCACAAATGAGTGAGTTTAAGTTATTGTGTCTGTAAGAATTTTTTATGTTCACAAAATTGCTATTATCGCATGGGCCCTATGTGAGTCCCGTAGACATTAAGTTTATCTGCAACATATTCACAAATTCGTGTCGTCAGTCAAAAAAAAGCAAAACAATGCAGTAAATAAATGTCATCTACAAAATGTAAACTGCTATTGAAAACCTTTTTTTGTCAGTACTAATACAGTATGTTTTAATGTAATAAATATGAGCTATTTTTAGAAGAATTTCATTTATCAATATATAATTGCAAATTGAATATTTGTTTGTACATGTAGTAAAGGTACATATGATTAAAATGCAATCATCGTTGAATTAAAGAAATTATAGTCTTGGCATACTAAATTACATTATACTAATTAATGGTAGCTGACAAAAAGAGATCATTGTATCATATGAAAAGTGCGGTTACACTGACAGCTTAAAGATAAATGTACTTAAATAGAAATGTTAACAATAAAAATGTCATAATGAAGAAGTTGCATAACCAGTTGAACAAGTTGTTTACGCATGGCTCTGAGGGTTTGTAAATAATAAGTTTAGGGAGGGCATACTTTATTTTTTTCAAAATGCTTTACTTATTTCTACGTCTAAGAAATAGCTGCTACAAACGGTGAGAAGTCCAATGTTTGTTATGTACAAGTTGATCTGATTTATATGCAAACCAACTTCATCATATTGAGAAAAAATTCGCTCTGAAAAAGAGACATTTACTGAAACAAATAGCCCTTCTTATGATATCCAGCTAATATCAACAATTTCGAACTATTATGAAAACGTGTGTACTCTTTATGTTAACATTTCTATCTTCACAAATAAGTTAAGGATACAAAAAAGAAATTTTATTAAAGGCGTTCTATTTATCCAATCACAATGATGGTGGGGTTTGTCGCTGAAAAAAAAAAGAAATTAGAGATAATTATTAATTTATTAGAAATTATCATCTGTTATTAAGTGAAGAAATAATGCAAATTTGAATCATAAAAAGACTTCTATATAAGACTGAAAAAGTAATTTATCATAGTAAGCACCACACATTGAGGTTTTCCAATAGGCTGGAATGAACTGCATATGATATGAGTCTATACATTAGCTTTAATTGGATGGCTAGTTTAAATTTCATAAGTAGGTACAATTAAGCCAGCAAAAAAGAGTTATCATTTATTGAAGAAAAACTAATGAGCGTGGGAGAGTTATTCCCAGAGGTTACATACCAAAAAATTAACTTTATACCTTGTCATTTATTTCTTTTTTTTTGAACTTTGGAGAAAGGGTTAAGATTTGGACTTTTTGATTGCACCTTCAAATCGATGAATTTATACAAACCTTATGAATAAAATCAATATTTGGATTTTCATCAATGACATAACAAACAACTTACATGGTTCTTCAGTAGTTGTTGTAGTGAGTGGAGCGTTAGTGGTCGGGATTGGGGGCTGGGTTACAGGGAACAAGGTAGCTGTTGTAGGGACGTTTGTTGATGGCACATCTGTGTTTGACATTAGGCAAATAAACATTTCATAAAAGTCATTTACATGTTTTAAAGACAAAGTCATCCAGGATTATAGATTACTGATTATTAGAATTGAAACACTAAATGACATAACATGAACATTTTCAATCTTAATTTGAATTGTCATTGAAATAGCACTTACTTATGACTGCAGGTGTAGTGGGAGCTTAAATAATAATTTATATTTTCTTAGTAAGATGTAAATGTACGATAAAATATAATAAATGGCTGAATATTAGGAAAAAACGGCCACCTTTGTACTTTGGCTAGGGAAGGGAAAAATCAATTTTAAAATAAAAAGAAGTATGTTTTATTGAGGTCCGTCCAACCCCCCAACCCCCCTTCCAAGTTTCCTTTGGCCATCCAAATCAATATATTTTAAGCCTACTGCAACGTTGTGGAAAGTTTGGGAGAAATAGACCCACTGGTTCACCATTAATTTAAAAAGTGTGGAAAGTTTAAGTTTCAAACATGGACAAATGCCGGATAAAATGTGTTCAGAAATAAAGCGCTAGTGGTTTTCAATTCAGCTGAGCTCAAACGGAATGCAGATTAATTAATTGTTAATGATATTGATTACGTATATTCATACATGCAGTTTGTTTTTTTTTTTAAATTAATTTTGTTTCTTGAATATTTACCAGAATTTTTTTAATGTTAAGATTAAAGATGTTTAAAAAGTTTGCTGAGGGCTTACGTGTACAGAAGGCACAGAAAACCCTGCAATTTGCCTGAGCCCAAGTCTGGTTTTGGAAACAAACAACTGGTCCCCTGTCTTCACAGTCGGGATCGACATTCACACAAGGTGGTTCTGTGGTGGGAGCCGGAGTGGTGGTAGTGGTAGTTGTTGTTGTGGTGGTTTCTTGATATAAAGTATAAATAAGATAAAGGCATCAAGTAATATTAAGTACAATTAATCATAACAATTAGATTCTTGTCTTATAAACATATTCAGCAGAAATGATATGCAATATAATGTTTATTTTTTAGACTGTATACAAATTTTTTGACATACTGTCTTTTGTATAATGTTGTGTTATTACGGTTTTTGTCTGTGAGTGTCCTTGGAAACTATTCATACAAAGGAGATTTAACAATTGGGGAAGTCATTGGCATGTTGCATGTAGATGTGCGAAACGGAGTTTTTAACCACATGCATGCGATGAGTGAAATACCTCACAGTGACATACTTTAAGGTAAAGATCCATACCACGTAAAATAACGTTATGTGACGTTATTCTCGTTTGTGACGTTATTACGTCAAACGCGCCCGACGCTTATTCTATCAAAAATGCCTGACGTCGATTTCACTTACCGTAAAAAAAGGTACATTAATTTCCAAATAAATGGCATAAATATACGATGTTCAGTTATTTTCCGGGATGCATGATCGAAGAAGAGTTTAAATTTAGATGATTCGTCAAACCGAAAGTACAACAAAGATGGCATGGAAGATTCATTGTCTCGAGTACAAGATAACTAAAAGACTTCGACAATCGGGTCGTTTTTTGTCTCTGTAAGTTGAAGAAATACAGAGTAACAAATAAATGGTTCTCTTGTCGAAAGTCATTATCGTTTGCTTACATGTTTGTACATAGGCCTAGTACGTAACCATTTTCGAACCACGTACGGCTCAAGTATTCAGGTACCTAAATACTTTGCTTCAATATTCCGATTTTTAAAAGTCGTTTTTCTCTTCTCGATTGTTTGAATTAAAATATCATCCTCTGGGGATTGACTCGGGATTTTGAAAAAAAAAATTTGGAAAACTTTTTTTACAATGTATATATATCATACATAAAACAGTTACTGCACAAATATAAATGTTCTGTTATTGATAAAAAAAACCAAACAGAATATTTCATTTAAGTAGAAAAGGACATTGATACATTGCCAAAAAAAAAATCCTTAATACACACATATGCTGAAAATTTAGAAAAAATTGTTTTAAAGCTAGTGCACAACAACCTCAAAGTATATTAGGGTAGTGTATGGTGCACCTGTCATAAGACTGACAGGTGTCCTGGGTTCGATTCTCTGGAAGTTGAACAGAGTAACAAATAAATGGTTCTCTTGTCGAAAGTCATTATCGTTTGCTTGTCGGGTATATGCTTGTACGTAGTACATAACCATTTTCCAACCTTTTGGGCCTCTTGTTATAATATGTTTGCTAAAGCCAATTTCCAAATTGATGATAAAATTACATATTTGTCATCTACGGTATATACAATATGTATAATAGATTAGAAAAACATATGTCGAACAGACCCAGGGGTCTATATCGGATGGGGAAGGGGATATTTCTGTCTTCAAGCACCCATGAATAGTATAGCGATAGATATCAGTAGCTAATAAGATAATGTGGATCCCCAGTGTACTTTTCTAGATCACAATTTTATGCATTACCGTGATTACTGTAATGATGGTTAGACTTAAACCCACAAATAGCAATATGACAGTAACAAAGAAGGAAACACATGTATAAGATGATAAATAGGAATGCCTATGAGATCATAGAGGGTGATATAAAAAGGAATAAGGAAAAGGATGAAATTTCAATCAGACAATTCACAAAATCAACTCTGTTTGTTAAGCCGAGTGCTTACAATGTTATAATCATATAATCAGGTTGTTCGTGCATGGTTTAATCATGCATTAATCATTAAAAACAAAGATAAACAGTTTCAATTTAGATTTATGGATTTATGTCAAGATTGTTGCTTTCTATTTGAATGAAAAAATTATTAATACTGTCTCATAAAAGTTATGACAGTGTTTTGTTTTTCAAAAACAAATCAATTTTTCAACAAAATTTATTGCATAATTAACTTGACCCTTTGATCACCAAATCAATAAGCGTCTCGAGCCACAGAGAGTTGCTGTGTAAAATTTCAATGCAAAAGCTCAAAGGCTTCTTAAAAGTGTTACAGACAGACAGAAAGACACACGGACAGATGCACAAACCTAAAATTAGTATCCCCACTTTCAGTGAAAGGGGAGACAATTATATCAGGGTTTTTTTTTGTTGATGTTAAACTTGGTTTATCAAGATACTTGTAAGAAAAAACATAACTTTCCCAGTGTTTATAAAGATCTTTCTTTTCCTACATAAATAGTTTTTGATATCATATTGAGCTTTATAATTATACACCTACATATTTATCTATTTTAACATCAATATGCACTGTGCAACACAGTTCCAAAAATCCAGATAATTTATTGGACCAGCATGCAAAATTCATATCAAACCATTTTCCCCCAAATAAATGAAGAGTCCTTCCCAAACTTATGAGTTAGGAGTTTATGCTGTGTCATGTGGCATGATAAAAATTCATTCATTTTTTTCATTTGGTTAGAAAACAATTTTGAAGAAGTATAATTGAACTGCCTAAACTCTTGTACAAGTCAAATTGAACCATCTTGGATGTCCTGATTAAATCTATTTTAGGCATAGAGCAACAGAAAGAGTTTTTTTTTTTTTTAAACTACACCATGTTCATAATGCATGTACCATTTCTCAGCTATTTTTAATATACAATTATACATACAAATTAAATATTCAGTACTTATAATGATGTTCATCAGCTCAGACAATTACATGTTCGAGAATCTGTGTCAATACTCATGGAACAAATGCTCGCTGGATCCATATCAAAATATCACTTCAACATAGAAAATTCTATTTACTCAGGGAGCCGTTGACTTTTAAAGCATCATACCGGTGACTTTTCATACCAATTTTACAAAGATCATTTCCAAGGAGGGGTCCAAGGTCACTTTTAGTACAATTCACTGTTATCTTTTGACTGACAGTAAGGTGTGGTATTCTTGATGTTATATATAATTAGCCTCTAAAATTTACACAGCTTTCATTCATTGTTGAAATATATGTGGCCATACATATATGAGAAAGAAGTAAGGGATTAAGTTGTCTCATCATTGTCAACAACTATTTGTTGTTCTGAGAATACCACGTCTTACTGAAAGTCCAAGGATGACAGAGAATTGTACTGCTTGGTTTAGTATATACATTTAATAACTGCCATTTCCAGGGGAACACACACAATCTTTCCTAAATCCACCATGAAAATTTCAATCTAGAGGCATCCTTATAAAAATTATACTATGGAAAACGAGAAAAAAAATTGTAAGTGCTGAAAATAATTATTGTGTAAGGGTGATTTTGACAGCTTGGTCAGAGTACATCAAACAAACAATTTTTTATTTGACTAACTTAACCCTTTTAATTATGAACTCAGATAATTCATTTTATAACCTTATTGATTTTAAAGAAACATAAACAGTAACCACATACTTATCTATAGAATAAATGTTAAATTTGTTTCTCTTTTTCAATAATTTTCTAGTCTTGATTCACATTTTCAATAATAGCACCATAATATTCATACATGTATTAAGAAGCTTGTGTCTCACATCTCACATTATATGAAAGTAAGGGTTTGTTTGAGCATGTTGACCGAGTTTAGACAGATGGGCATATAAGATTACTCAAACATGTCACCGTAGAATGTGTTCATATTTTACTAATTAATTTTCAAAGTTTTAGTAATGATGCACTCAATGCAATTCCAGTCATCAACTATGGAGTTTGGTGTTTAGAATTTATAAAACGAATTTGAGTTAGCCTAGGTACGGAAAACCTAGATCAGACATTACAAAGTGGAAACACTGAACATATTCATCTCCGCTTACATAGATTTTATCTATTTGTACATGGAAAAAAAACATGATAAAGAACTTGCACCTTACTTAGACAGATCCGAGCTTTTCCTTTGATCAGAAACCGGACGTTAAAGAGATGTGGCAAACAAACCACTTATTTGTATCTATGAATAGCGAAAAATGTATTACGTAGACACAAAAAGTAGTAAAATGTGCCACTTCTCTCATTTTTTAATCAAATAAATCGCATCCAAACGACCAATGTTGAAACTGAAAGTGTTTTCTTCTTTCACTTACGTCATAACGTCACACATGCGCATTAACGGTATATAGAATATTCCGAAGATTGAACCCGATTAATATAATGTTTGTAAATCGCGAAAACGAATTATTGGCCGTCTCTGCATTAAATATTCAACTTATAACTTAAACCATACTTATTAATTTTCTATTAACGATAGTTTTAAATATTTAAAGCGATTTTTGCACCCATCATAAAGGTATAGATGTTAAAAAGATTTTTCAAAAATCATAAAAGTATAGATGTTAAAATTTTTAGCCATATTTTTCAAATAATCATTTTTCAGCAAATTTGGTATAAAAATGTGAAATTTTCTTGTTTGTCCCAGCTGCCCCACTTAATGCACACTTGAAAGAATTGACATGATAATTCTGAATTTGAGCTATTGAGAAAGGATAAGTTTTAATTATTAATAAAGCGTAATTTTTACACAAATGTACATAAATTAAGATATATTTTTAATTAAATTTTTCAAATGTAGTTAGATTTTTATCCCTAAAAATAAATACATTTATGCAGCATTTTATTTATTTTATAAAAATGAATTTTTAATTTTGATGCTAAATATGAAATCTGTAGTTTTTGCCATAGAAAGCAATTTATTTTTATAACAATGGAAAATTTTTAAAAAAAATAATTATTGAGCTAAATATGTTTAAAAAAACAAATTTCTATAATTCATAAAAAAAATTCTTGGATTGCTTTGCCCCAAAAAAATAAAATATGTTTAAACCTAAAGAAAATATTTTCTCTAGAGCATTTTTAAAAAAATCAATTTTAATTTTTGCAGTAGTTAAAAAAACACAATTTCTTAATTAAGCATTTGTAATTTCACGAAAAATTTACACTTAATTAGTAACATTTCCTAGAAAAAAAGTAATATTTTCAAATAATAAACCGTTAAAAAAACACATTTTTATGTTAAAAAAATTTACACTGATCTAGAAAAGGATCTGTAATTTCACGAAACAATGTCTATTTTTAGTAAAATTTACACGTATCTAGAAAGGACAAATACTCAGTTAAGATTCTGAAAAGTTTCAACAAAATCTGTAGTTCCGTTATTTCGGTATGGATCTTTACCTTAAGAAAAATCTGTAATTCTCTCCATTACAATGTTTTTCATATCGTCTGTTGTCATTCACTTTCTTTGTCTTTGTATATAGGTTACAAAACCTTCGCCAACAATGAAGCGTAACCTTCAACATAAAAGCCATAACACTTTTTATGGTATCATAAAAGAATTGTCATAGAAATGAAAAATAACATTAATCATGTAACAGGTAGAGTGAAATGCATGAACCACCTCTACCGCTACACTGAACACAACAAAATTAAAAATAATTCTACATAATTATATAATATGTATTTATATACATATAATCTTAAATTACTAGATCTTGACAATCTTTAGAGTTAAGCGCATAACCATTAAACTTATTAAAGGTAAAGCCAAGTAATGTACGTAACAAGAAACTGTACCTTCACAGAAGAAACAAAATTTTGCACACTTTTTGGCTGCCCAGTCTTTGTAATTAAAGCAGATG